CCAATTGCTAATTTGGGAGAGGATGGCATTAATGTATTAGGTAGCTGCTTTTAGCTACAGTAGGTTGAGAAATTCGGGTTATGGTACATGTAATATTCCTACTAAGCCACTCATGTTCCATAACATCTTGAGGTGATAGCATAAAGTCATGAATTTTCCTTTTTTTATAATGAACTTCAAAATAAAGCCTAGTGAAAAAGATTTAAAAAGTACATTCACAAATTATTCTGTACTTAACTTGGTTATTTCTTGCATAATTTGACTAATATTTATTTTGGACAGATTGTTATATCAGAGTTTTGTTGGGCCCATAAACTTGAGGCTGTCATCACTACAAAGCTTTAGTGGGAAAATTTATTGCTTATTCCATTAATTGTTAAGGGTTTCGATACCTTGCTGCTTTGTGATATTAACACACAACTTGCCCTTTTAATTTGATGAAAAATGTATCAAATTCAGAATAAATATACAAAAATGGTAAACTTGTTCCTTTATTTTATTTACCTTTTTAATTTATTATCATTAAAATTAATAAAATACAATGAAATGAATGAAGAGAAATATTTATTATCAGAACAAATTTTTAAAGTGAAAAATAGTAATGCAAGTTCTAGAGAACACTTTCCCATCTATTCCTTCTGGAGCCACAGGTTGCGGACCACTGATCTTTGCCAATCAGGTACCAGGTAATAAAGACATGTTCAAAGACAGAAAGTTAGTACACCTTCCCTCAGGTGCTTACCAAATAGAAATCTGGTATTGGGGACAGAAAAAAAAGGGGGTGGAGATTTATTTAGGTATGTGAAAGATTTTTGTCCTTGACTTCTAGTTCTAGTGTTTATAAACTACTGGGTCCATTATAGTGGAACCTCGGATAATGAACTCCACGGATAATGAACTCCACATTTAACTAAAATAAAGGTTTTGTGAAAATTTGTTGCCTTGGTTAACAAGAACAATACTTTGGAGTACAAACATACACACACAATCCCACCGCCTCAGTAGTGCTTTGGCACGTTTGCATTTAACATCATTTATTCAAGAGCTGTTTTTTAAAAATATTTTTGTCATGCTGCCTACAGAGAGGTGTGAATAGGAATCATGTGTGGACATAAAGAAAGTACAATGCTGTTTTATTTATTTTACTGTTAAATGTCTATAATCAAGGATATTTTATGATAGAAAAACACTTAGCACTTCTAGAAATAACAAAGTTCTAAACTGGAACAGATTAAATGAATAACATTGTTTTTTTTTAAATTTCAATGGGAAAAATTATTTTGGGTAGCAAACATTTTGGTTTAAGAACAGAGACAGACTGGATTATTTGAGGATCCAATGTATAAGAGTAAAATGTTATAGTCAATCAAGGTCTCATGATGAAATGGCATCCGAGTTGAATTTTCTTCCAATGAGTACCCAGGTGAATGAGGAGGTCTGTTATTTGCATTGTTTACTACAACCATACTGATCACTCCGCTCCAGTCTAAACATGGTAACCCATTTGTACAATAGCGTATGCTTCATTGTTTGAAACACATTGAAACCCAACACCAAAGCAGTCCTCAAACAAATAAAATGTTGTGGCTTGCAAATGCTTCATAGGATATACTTATTGGTGTTTCTCATACTCATAGAGAGAATGTGACTGCTTTGACCGATTTCTTTTTCTTCACATCCCTTCATTAAAATGTAAACAAATGAGCATTTACCTTTTCAGAATGAAGAACATGATTTTTTTTGGACTTAAATACAGAGTTAAATTTGAATATTCAAAAGAATATTGAAGTTCTTGGCATCTCTGACTTGAAGAGCCAATAGTAGTAGATGATGCTAGGGTTACAATAGTTAATGGACGGGCATAAATTAAAACAAAGAAAATTCAGAGGAATCATGATTTCATAAATATCACAGTTTATTTAAGTTTATAACTTTAACGGGCAGCATATTCATGCCGGAACTTAGCAAGCAGTAACAGGTTGTAATCTTTTAATAAGTTGAATGACATGTTCCTTGGACAACTGAGTCAGCTTTGTAACTGTGGGGCGTCTGGACAAAGATAGAATCTCTAGATCCATAAGACATGAGATGTTAATAAGCTTCTGTTGACATTGTGATAATCCCTTCAGAGAAAAATGGTTTAAAAAAAGAAAACCATTAAGTATGAAAGCTTAAATAGACATACCGGTATTTAAACATAATTTGGTGTAAAATTTAATTAGTGCTTTAGTACGTGTTTTTATTAGCTTTAACATGTTGCAAGTTCTTTGTCATTTGTTTATTCCTTCACCTCTGTCCATTTGAGTCTAAAACATGCATTATTTGATATATGGTACAGATTATTGTGGTTGATCAGTTCCAGACAGTACCGCAAGAAGTGAATTTCTGCAAATTAGGATTCTTTATTTATAAAAAGAATATTTTTGTCTTTAGAGCACAGAAAACCTGTTCATGGCCCTGTTAGTTGGATTTTTAGAATTCCATTAATTTTCAAGTCTGAAGTGAGAAAGTAGTGTGTACTGGTCATTCAAATGAAGCAATTTTTTCTAATAGGTATCACAGTATCTGTTTCTGGGAGTGCTTGAATGCATAGGCCTACACCACACCTACAGTAATTTTAATTGTAATTTAAAGGTGTCTAATTGACTTCGATAACCGAGGGTGTGCTGTATCATTTTCACTATCTTGTTCAATCTTTAATTAATAAATGTTATATTATATTTGAAAAAACTGTGATAGAATGAAGCCGTGAAAGTCGAAGCATGATGTGGCGAGGGAAGACTGTATATCATTTATTGTTTTAAATTAATAAGGATATAACATAGTTAAACTACCTTCAATAGTCTTAAGTACCCTACCATTACAAAAGATGTATGAAGGTGGCCAGCATCCTCACAAGCGACTGGGAAGGCTTTACGGATAAGCATTTACAATTTGTAAATTTTACAAAAACATAAATCCAGTTCCCAGGACGGATGAAACGTCTGAGCGGGCCACATGTAGACCCCTCCCTGTAGGTGGGACAACCCTGCTTTAATTACTTAGAAATGCCAATGTGAACAGTGAAGTACCTTCATCAAAGCTGATTTGACTTGTGGATCTTCCTTTATTTTCTGTCTCATAACTAGACTGTCCTTAGCTGTGAATCCTATTAGTTTAGTCAAGACCTGAGAACATACAAGAATCAAGCTGTTTGTCTAATTTCTATGTTAACTACCGGTATGTAATGTTGCTAATAATAAATAACTCAATAAGGTAAGTGATTAAAACAATGCAGGTGTCAACATCTTTTCTTGTAAGCATGGAAGATCTTGTTAACTGTCTATTCCAGTATCATAGAAGGTCTTCTTGATATTCAAGTAATGATAATAAGCATTGTAAATGCCATCATGTGTAACTATCTTTCTAGTCAGATATATTGAAAAATTTAAGATCAAACTCACACAATTGGATAACTCCACATCCACACTAGCTGTTCCATCATTGATTCTACAAGCCAGGGTCCACTGGGCTCCACCATCACTACCCAACTTGTCTATTAAAGTGGAGATGTATGCCTTAAAAGGAGTTTTTAATTTTATGCAATTTTAATTTTTTAGAATGTAATTTAATATGGATGGATGTTTATAATTCAACAATGCACTTAAATGTTCTTCCACCCCTATAAAGCATAGTGCTTCTTAACTTTAGTCTACTCATACATAAATATTACAACTCTTTCGGTGTAAATTATAATATAAATAAACGAAAAATGTAATTTAATGGAATAATACAAGAGTGGATTTGTTTAGATTTAAAAATTATATTACTACAAAAAAGATATGAATGCGGACAGCATCATCATGAACGACTAGGAAGGCTGTCCAAATGTTATTTAATACTTACAATTAATAATTTCAACAACACTTGAATGTTAAAATATGTTGTTCCAAATAACAAAAACAAGCAATGCACTGACACATACAGTTGTTAATATGAGGCCGTTCTTTTAGCAAACATTCATTTAGACATTCCTTAGTACATATTAACACAAATTATCAAACTCAGTAAATTCAACAATAATAAATGAGAACATTGAAAACAGAAAGGACTATATAATATTTAAAAAAATGTATATTCGTTTGCTATTTCATGTTGTTTGTCTTCTAATCTTTAACCCTTTTGGGACGCAGCTTCTACAACAGGAGTGTCTGTGCCAAAAAGATGGAACACTTTTTATGAGCTCGGCACTTGTAAAAAAATTTCTTTAAAAAATAAACTAGTTCCTTTACAGCTACAAACTATTTATATTCTTAAAGGAAATTGAATGAACTAATAAAATCTTTATGAATCAAACCAATATCTCAACATTTATGTGAATGAGCTATCCTGATTTGAATAATTTATGCATGATATTTTTTTGTTAAATTTAGAATAAATATGATTTACTTGTATCATTTGTGTGATTTTTTTTGATGGATGAAACCTGAATAAGTCATAACACTTGTGTTTTGGAGGCCCTACAGACAACTCTGGCACATGGTTCTACTCCTTTTCCTGCCCTAGGCTATTTTTTTATGACCAATGGACCTTCTCTTGAACTGGGTATTACTGAGAAAATTCTCTGCATACCTGTTGGTTTCTCTCATAAACAATTGAGTGATATTTAGTGTAAACAATAGCATAAAGTACTCAAATGGGGGTGTATATTTATAGGTCCTATTATTTTTTTAAAATTCAGCCTGGTCATCTCCATCCAGTTGAGGACTCTTAATACTAAACCAAGGGTTTACAACATTATCATCAGCATCATCATTTTGATCGTCTTTATCAGAGTCAGATTCATTGCTAGAATATCAAATACACTAAGGATAGTTTGTTCAGTGTCGCTGTCAGACATTTTGGAATTTTATATTACTTGCAACTTTAAGCTAGTCAACAATAAACAGAGGCTGCCATTAAAATGCCAGGATGTGCAGGAAAATGTAAGACCAACCAGCCAATCTTGAGACTTGAATTATCTGGCGGATAGATCGGCCATTCGTCTTTTTTGCTACTCCACCCTGGGCAGATAAAACGGCCCAGCCGTCTCAAGAGGGTTAATCTTACCTTTACAGTGATTGAAGCAGGGGGTGTTAATTTCCTTATGTCAACCAAATATTTGTAGGGCATGTCTTCACTCAAATTTACTGAAATGAAAATGAAATATACAAATACATTTCATACAGAAGAATTAACACGAACAAGGACTTTGCTGGTGGTCTTTAAGTAGTAGACATTATTATTCATGTTTACTTAAATCACATATTTTAAACAAATTTAAGGTTAGCAGAGCTTTCCAACATTTGGAAATTGGTAGAATAGAAAAGCAGAAACAACGTTGAGGGAGGCATTAAACACGATCTGTGAATAACATAAAACAGTGAGGAGAGTTGATTGGAATTATTAGCTTTAAAATGTAACATACTCATTATAACCTGAAGAACGTGAAGACTGTTTTAAAAAAAACTGCTTTGGCTTTGAAACAAATACTATGATAACGGTACCCATTTTAAAATATTGCTTCATTTGAAAAACAAGTACACACTTATCTCTCACTTAAGACTTGAAAATTAATGGAATTTTAAATATCCAATTAAGAAGTACAAGAAATTATTTACCTTTAATATCACTGAAATCTCCAAAAGGGTGAATGATAGCTTTAAGTAAAGTATTTTCCTTGGCACATGAAAAAGGATTTTTACCGATTTCTGAATGTGTTTTATTTTTACTGTGGATTAAGCTGTCTGACTCTCCACATGGTAATAGTCTTTCCTGATTTATTGATATGGATTGTTCTGATACAACACCAGGTAAATTTTTCTCAGAATATCTTGAGACACATGAATTATCAATAAATGGATTCTTCATAGTAAAAGGTTCATTAAGTCTTTCAATTTTTATTGTTGTAGAAGAGGGTATTGTATCATCATCAATAACAATGGAGTTGCTGCTAGAGGTTATCGGTCCTTTTTTTGACATGTGACTCTTTGTACCAAACATGTCTGATAGCTTACATTGTATTTTAGGCTGATTCGATGTCACAGTTTTTGAAGTTCCACAAGATGATGTTGATTTAGCTTTGAAAAGGGGTGCTTTTTTTAAAAAAAATGATGGGCTTTTAGAAGTTTCGGACTCTAATGGGAAATTCTGCGCTCCTTCATTCGAATAGGGTATTGTAGGTGAATATTGGTTTGAACTAGTAGGTGTAGCTATTAGACAAATGCCCTTTTGTTTATCTGTGGTGTTTAAGGTTTTCTGATCTTTTCTGGACAGAAAAGGAAAATTATCATCTGATGCTTTAATTATATTTTTATTTATGTGAGATGAAGCAGAATAATTTGCTTCAATGATTTCACAATCATCATCAAACAAGTCATCTTGGTCAGGACCCGAGTTTTTGGAATTGTTAAATGACTGAACACAGAAGGTTTTTGGATGAGAATCGGGTGATTTGTTCAATAAAGAACTGGCATCATTGTCACTCCTTCCTGGTACAGGAGCTTGATTTTCCTGCGGGCCTGAGAAGCCAAACTTAAGCTTTAAGGTTGTGTTATTGATGTTACTTCCTGTTGGACATTTAGATGGTTTGTATGATTCATTTAAGTCTTTAGCTGCTCCATCAAAAATGTCAGTTCCTTCAAAATCCATGTCGTCATCAAATATTTCAGAGTAGTCCATTTCACTGTCCCACTAAAAGAAACAAGAAAACAAATATTTCAACCTGTGATTCCTCAGTAAGATTAAATCAATAAAGAAATTTAAATTGAAATGTTGAAAATAGAAAAGTAAAAACACAAAAAAATTTTGCAAGCACAATTGTATATTATAGTATTATAATTTCCTTTATTTAAAGCCCAGAAAATTACATCCATTTTTTTACCCCCCTAGAGACAGAGCCTTTTTTTTTTACTAAAATAGAGTCCTTTTCACAAACCCTGCACTTACTTTGCAAAACAAATTATAAATAATAAACTAATTACTTTACAAATATAAAACTAGACATGTTCTTGTAGGGAACTGAATAAACTATTACGATCTTTACGAATAAAACTGAAAACTCAACATTTATGCAAATTAGATGTCCCGATTTGCATAACTTATGCATGCAAAAAAAATTTTTACACTTAGGATAAGCACATCTTACTTGCAGAATTTTGTTGAATTTTTTGTTGTTGAAGCCTCAATAAGTCCTTACACTTATTTGAATGAGATTCAACATGTGAAAGTGAAATACAAAAAATATTCCCCTGGTGCTGTTATACTTTTAGGGATATTTCAAGGTCACATATTTAGTAATTAAACTTAATTTTGACTGCTACTATATATTTGTACTTTTCTTTTGTCATTTTTATTTAATTTATACTTATTTAATTGGTTTTTTTTTGTTGTGCTGATGAAGGCTTGTGCCGAAACATATACTTGTGATTATGTAAAATTATTATTAAAGCTTCCTTATATTGTTATATTGACACAAATTGTTTTTGTCTAATTAATCACTAATTTAGTAAGCATTGGTAGGGGTCACTAGGTAAAAAAAATATTTTAATTTAAAATGACGGAACACCATAAAATATCAAGGAAGCTGCCATTAATCTGTCGAGAATCTGATTAGCTGGTAAATGTGGCGGCTTTTATTATTAGGCTGATACATTGGCCTTTCGTTTTTTTCGCCATAACACTATTGGTCAATGGAATGGCCCAGATGTCTCAAGAGGGTTTATGGCAAGTCATTACATAATTGGTAAAGATTATTGTTCAAATGATGTTAAAAAACATTATGAATACCTGAATATCAATGTTGGATTTAGACGATTCAGTAGCCACTGTTCTTGTCAACGCAGACTGTATTTCTTCTTTACTTCTGCCAGACGTGGACATCACTGCATTAGAGTCAGAGGAATATGATGCCTGGTAGATACAATTATTAATTTCCAATTTCATCCCATCCTTGATGTGATCCAGTAGCCTACTAGGATAATGGGATTGTGTTCCCTGTATATTCATATTTATCCTGCCTTGTGATACAACATGTTTTGGCTCAGTTTTGATCTGGCGCTGACTTTTTTTATGATCAAGAGTGTGCTCATTTAAATAAATTTCTTCTTTCTTGACAGATGCTTTGAGATGGTCATCTAATTTACCAGGCGTCTGCCTTATGAACTTTCCAGAAAATTCAGCTTTTGCATGTTTACCTTCATCCTCTCTGTTTTTCAACCTAAAGAAATGAATAACTTTCTTTGTAAAATATAAAATCTGAAAGCAAGAAATATTCTCAATTAATTATTTAAACAATACAATTTGGGGAGTAACACAAAACAGAAAAGACATGCGTAATTCCAAACTTCAAAAGATTACTAGTTATTTTTCAATACTTAATGCAGCAGAGAAGTTCTCTCCTGTGGTCCCACGGTTTACTTACATAACTTTTTCTAGATTATTCAAAGGCATATTTTGTTCTACTAGCTCATCAACTTCTCCTCCAAGTACTTGAATACTCCCAGGTGTCAGCAGTATCATACCTCTCATACATATTAATGGTCCAATGAGCATCATCTATAATAAGAGATAATAAGAGTCATAACATTTATTTTAAATGGCATCAGCAAATATTTTAGTGGGGAGAAAGATATTAGAAAGAGCATTGACACAAAGGTGGGGAAAATGAGATCTCTGAAACAAGAAGGATCTCTTACTTTGGAAACTTCATATACCTCTTGTTGAGGCTAGAATATGTTGTGGAATGGTTGCGCATCATTTTTATTTTAGTGTATGTTTTGGGTGTGTAGTGAGATCTATTACTATGTTGTCAAGATACCTGTTATTAATGTGTGTATGCATTTTTTTTTTAGAGTTTAGATCACTGTGTACTTATTAGATTAATTAGTAGAGCCGAAGCAACAGCTGACTAACATATATTTGGGACTTAGTTTGTGCAGAAGCCTAGTCTGTGTAGTGAGCTGTGAGACTGGATAAAATATATATCAACAACCATAAATCTGTGTTGCATTAAATTATTAAATATGACTTTATGAAAGTCCAGTCACTCGTAGACCAAACTATAGAAACTTATAACCTCACCTGTTTAGGACTACCAGTTATTGGTAGATCAAAATAAGGGTGTAAGATTAATGCAGAAGGTTGTGTTTGAAGGCATCAAATACCATGAATGTTTGTGAGAAGTAAAGATTTTGATGATTCAATTTTCAAATTAAAAGTTTATTAATAACATAAATTTCAAGTCTACTTTTTACCTTTGATCCACTTGGCAACTGACAACTTAAATTTTGTATAGGTTGGTACTCCATTGCCTTAACTTGAATATGTCCATCTGTCAACTGAAGGAGCAGCATCCGAGATTGTTTAGGCTCCCACTGTACACACAAATGGATAGAACAGAAATTTCAATATATTGAAATAAATTTTTTATGAAATATAAATATCGCTTTTTTCTTAACTATTTATAACTACATCACGCATAGAGTAAAATGCTCCTTCTATCCAAAAGACTTTTTCCACGGCCAAGGTGAAACATAAGGTTATAAGTAATATAAGAAACTCAATAACTTTGCCATGACATTCGATATTTATTACACCTTTGTAATTTAAATACGGAAATCTGTATTAGTACAGATAAAATTAATAACCCATGAAGTATCTATAATTACATATAAATTGCTATCAAATTCATCATCTGAGCCATTTTTGACAGAGTTACTATTTATCTGTGGGAAAAAACTCTTCATTTACAAGTTGTGATTTAACAATTTGGGAATGATGTAAACATTTTAGAATGTGTGCAAGGCCAAGGTGAGATTATTCATGAATTTGTCGTTTTGCTGTGTTATAGTTGCCTATTACTATCAGTATTTTTTGGATATAAAGGATAAAATTGGGGGCATCCTAACTACCTCACATGGAAATAAAGTGTTACACCTTTAATTCTTTTAGGTTGTTTTGCTAAGATAAATCCCTTTAGCTTTGATTGATTCATTACAATTTTTATCAAAATTTTCTATAAAAATGTAAAAATGTTTTGCACATAAATTTGAAAGAGTAATTCTATAAGTATTCTTCACTCACTGCTGGTTGGAAGGGCTTGTCAGCAGACACTTCTTCATTAGGATTCTCTCTGCCTTGCAATTTCTGCATTTGACCATACAGAGGAAATCCAACATCAATGACAGAAATCAGCTGCAAGAAAATAATATTCAATTTTGTATTTTTATAAACATTTCCAAAAAATAGAAATGACAAGTTCATATAGCATAACTATTCATATCCTTACCTGAAGAGGGTAATTGCTTGTGAGTTCCATTTTATCAGCATACGTCACATCTGCAGGTAATACACTCTCTCCTATTTCAGATAAATCTGACAGAAGCCATTGCTCATACACTAGTGAGAGCAGGTCATCAGTGGACAGAGACTGGCCCTTTTATGGAATATACAAAATATGAATATATAGAATTATAGACATACATTTTATTTCATAACAAAATATTTTTCTGCTTTAAATTGTTGTTTTTGTGTACTTAAAAGTTTAAATAAATTATATATTTTAAATAAACTTGTGAATTGGCATGGTCAAGCAAACACAATAACAAACAATAAAGAATATATTTGTATTTAAGTTGTCGGCCCATGTTACCCAGACAATCAATTGTATAGGCAAATACCTAGGAATTAAAAGATAATCTGTTTACAGAACCAGATGAAAATGGTTTGCTGTAAACAAGCAGTTTTTCCCCATGCCTTTTTATTTTACTATTTATAAAAATAAAAGGGCATATCAATCTAATTCAAATTTTGTGTTTTTGCATTGAGCTAATGAACCCTTTTATTGTTCCTTGAATACCTAGGAGCAATAGTCTCAGAAGAAGGCTCCAAGCCGGAACTGATGTCCAGGATTGCGCAGACTACAACAGCACTAAAGAGGCTCAAGAAAATATGGAATGACAAAAATATAGCCCCACAGCACCTAAATCAGGCTGATGCGCTCATTAGTCCTCTCCATTTTCCTGTATGCCCGCGAATCCTGGACATTAACAGCCAATCTTGAAAGGAAAATAAAGGCGATGGAGATGAGATGCTTCAGAAGCATTTTTGGCATCTGCTATAGGGACCATATCTCCAATGATACGGTGAAGGAAAGGCTTCGCCTGGCAATTGGGGAGTACGATGACCTACTGGTGACTGTGAAAAAATGCAAACTACAATGGTACGGCCACGTAACAAGGAAACAAGGGCTTGCCAAAGAAATATTGCAGGGCACCACAAGAGGAGGGAGAAGAGGAAGACAAAGAAAAAGATGGGAGGATAACATCAAAGAGTGGACAGGACTAACACTGGGCGATGCTGTGCGCAGTGCAGAAGACAGAGACAAATAGAGGAGGATAGTTCACATGTCATGCCCTGTGGCACCATAACTCTCTGAACTGTTGCTTCCTTACATCCCCACAAGACAACTACGTTCTTCCATTGACAGTAGAACCCTCTCAATCCCAAGAACTAAAACTAAGACCATCGGTGAACGCTCCTTCTGCTTCCATGGGCCCACGTTCTGGAACCAGCTCCCCTTCCATATACGTCATAGTGAAACCTCGTCCATTTTCAAAAAGTCCCTTAAAACTCATCTGTTTAGGTCCGCCTATGACCTGTGATGCACCCTCCTTGCCCTACCTAATTTTCTGTTTCGGTTTAATCCTGAAGTGTCAAAGTGTCCTCTTTTTATAGCCATTTTCATTGTTTCTATAGAATAGTAGTTACTATCCTAGTGTCTCATTTGTATTTACTTAGTTTACATGTTTTAATAATTGTAAAGCGCTTAGAGCTTTATGATAAGCGCTATATAAAAATGCCTAAATAAATAAATAAATAACTGTCCAAGGACATGAATAATAATAATAATAATGGGTCTTACATAGCGCGGTACCCCAGCCTAGGGCTGGGCTCACCGCGCTGTACATAAAAATTTTATCAAAAGAGACATAATCATGACATTAAAATAAGATAGGCTAAAAATATTTTCTCAAGCAGTACATGGTGTGATGTAAAGAAATGTTTTTAAAATCTAGCCGCCATGAATATTAAAAAAAAAAAAATTATCACCTGATTTTCTTGCTGGATCCATTCAAGGCAGGCTGTCAACCATTCTGTTGAAACTCCAATGTTGTAAGAGCTCTTCAGCAGAGCTTGCATCGTTTGAAATGAATTCATAATTGACTGACTTATACTTATTCACTTCACTAATAATAAAGACCATTCAAAGAATGTAACACTATTAATATAAGAAGAAACAATTAATCATTACTAAACTTCAAATAATAACTTTATTAAAAGTTGTTTTAAAAGTTACTGGCTATAGCAACAGCTATGCCCCCTTACAATGAATTTTCATTATCAAACTTCAATATTTTTTTAATTAATTTTTAACTATAAATTATAAACCCAATGCCATTTTAAGTATGAAGGGGCTGCATTTACTGTGGTGGGTTAAAAAACTAAAGCCTGCATTTACTGCGTGAGAAACTTAGCTAATCTTAGGACCTAAGCCTGTCAATGTAGCTGAAAATGTAACATAATTTTGACAGCAGACTTCAGGTTTGTAAAAAAAACTTTTTTATTGCAATGGAACTTTTAGAGTGTTTAGAATGCTCACAGAGCCACATGCAGTGACACAATGGTTTATTCTATTCCAAATGGATCTCCTGCCCAAGTGAATCGCATAACTAAGTAATTGTCACAGCACTGAAAAATTTGAAGATTCCGACCGACACTAGCTTTTGGCACGTTTGGCTCACATGACACTGTACTTGCTGTAACTTCAGTCGACTTATGAAAGATATATTATACTTAGATTTTATCCAAATGTTACAAATGTAATTTAACTAGTAAATAGCATCCTCACTCAAATAGTTTAAGGCAGGGGTCTCAAATCATCCGGGGGCCGCAGGAAGTAGAATCCTGGTGAGTCTGGGCTGCACCAAGTATTCCACAAAAACGCGCTTACAAATTCAATAAAGTAAAACTGTTATAATTTGCTCAAACTTTATTAATAGAAAATAAAACATTAAGGTTCTCAAGAACTAGTCTTCACTTTCTTTCTCTAACTCCTTGTTGCCAAAGACCTGGCAGCACTTCTTCTTACAAAACTAAGCAACATTTGGCTTGAGCGAGGAAGCAACTGACACCCTCAGTAAAGCTTGAAAATTTTCATCAGTACGTTTAATCCTGAACTTTGGCTTGTTAAAGTTCATGGTGGAAAAGGGCTAATCACAATAAAGGCTGATTTTTTTTAATCGTAGTAAAGGCCTTTTTGGTTAACCCTATTTCAAAAGTGACCAAGCTGAAAGCCTCTGAATTTCCCTCACTCGTGCACACTAGCTACAATTTTAATAAGGATTCTTTGATATTGTGTCAGATTGCTACAATTTACACAATTATTGTTGTGCATTACCCACTAACTGACTTTTTAGACGTTTCTCAAAACCGCACTTTGGCCATGTTTTTCTCATAAAATGCTATAAAATAAAACTTTAATATGTCCGATTTTAAAACTGTTTTTACCACTATAATTATAATCAACGTCCAAACCTATACAAACATAATAAAATCAGAATTAGACTAATAGGTGAGATTAGACTGAAACCGTCACGAAGGGTCACGTGAGAATTGTTACACGAGAATTGTGGAAAACGCGGGGGCCGCATTAACACTAAACTTTTCTGTCATCTAGTGGGCCGCAAAATATTGTCTTGTGGGCCGTGAATGGCCTGCGAGTTTGAGACCCCTGGTTTAACTTGTTTAAGCCAACAACAAGGCTAAGGCCAAGGCTGCAATATTATTGATAATTATTGTAGTTGTAAGGTTTGTAAGACAAAATTTAAATTAGGTATCAAATAAATGAACTGAATATGAATCAGAATTGAATTATTAATAATTATTTGAATGATTTGAATGTACTATTTTTTTAAAACTTACTTTTTCAGTTTAACTAAAATAAACTACAACAAATGACATCCCAATAGTCAATAGCATTTAGTCTAACTAAAGGGCCCCACATACTATAACTATAATTTAAACTACAACTATAATTATAATAAACGCTATACTATTCGGATTTAATGAGTCTTTCTTAAACTTAAAGTTTCTTTACTTTGTTTTGGTCAAGTTTGGTCACTGTGACAGTGACACTCACAGTCGACTCAGTCTATCACTGTCACTCACACCGGTAGCGTAAGAAATTTTAATGTTTTTAATTATTGTTTTTCAAACGTGCTAGGCCTATTCTTTAAAATAAATCATTTAACATGAACCATCTACAAGACTATTTATAACGTGGGTACCAAAAAGTGTAACAATAACAGAATACTAAGAAATGGTAATAAACGTCTGTCACTATTTTGCTTTCATTCAGTTTACCGCCATGCCAGTATTTTCTACAATTGTGAGCTATTTCATGAGGACCTGCACAGTATATCCCATTACAACGTTAAAACTCATATCGTGTTCTTCCATTCAATTTTAAATTTAAATATATTCATGATGTAGGCTATGTTAAATTATTTAATTTTAACTTGTTTTAATCACACTGTGTTAGCTTATAATATTTATACATTTATAGAAAAATCATAGCGCATGTCTGGTTCTTTACATAATGTTATTGTTAACATATCTGGTACAAGTTCCAATAATACAGCAGTCAGTTACCAACAGTTGGTTAAGGCCCTCAAACAAGATTCTCAATTGTGATGGGGCGACCCCGGGCGAGGATTCGCTTACACTAATTAAGCTGGGTACATTCACATAATAATATTTAACTCAATAGCCAATAATAACATTGCACATTTTAAAGATTGCTTTAAGTTACATGTGTTTTTTTTTTAATTAAAAAAAATATATTACGAGCCAGTGGTCCCACAATGCGAGCTATTGGCTATTGAAAGCGGTCCATGAAAAACAACTGAGAAATACACTCCAAAATAACATTTTTTATTTAGTAGTTTCTAAATTTAAGTTAAACAGTATATTTTGTATCTATCTATCTTACATAAAAGTCAAATACCACAAAAAGCCGCCAGAAGTTGAAATTTTGCATGATGATTCATTTTCATCTTATAGTCTTATAGGTTAGAGTCCGACTGAATTTCGTCTTCGGTTTCAGCGTTGAAAGTTGCCATTTGATCACTTTTGGCCTAGTTTCGACTTCGGCCGAAACCGAAAAGTTAACTTTCGGTTTAATCTCGGTTTCAGCTGAAACAGCAAAGTTAAATTTCGGTTTAAATTTGGTTTCGGCCGAAAGTGATTGAGACTTTCGGCAATCTGGCTGAAACTGACTGAGGTTTTCTGTCATTTATCAGAAGTCAGACTGACTGTCTCTAGGCCGAAAATTCGATTTTCATTATTGCTCGACATCGTGCTGTCATCGTATGTCA